GCATTATATCAATGTATAACCATTATAAGTTGACTATAATCAACTGTAAACAGAATTTATTTAACAGAACTTATTGTCTATTTAATCACCTGATAGAAAATAACTTATATATATATAAAGGTAAATTATTTGTCTGTATCTGTCTATGATAAATAAATTTCACATTATTCATTGGCAAAAGTTTAATTCCTTTGATCAAGGAAAACAATTCACAAACAAAATAAAATCTTCCCATGAAATATGATAAATCACCCAGTTGTTTATAGACATGTCTACAGATAAATTATTCGAAATATCAGCTACTTATTGTTGTTAAGCCTGTTATACAGTTTTTGTTGTTGGATTTTGTTGATCTGCTTAGCGAAACAGTTTAACTAAAAATATAAATTAATGAATTCGAAACCAATTGTTTAAGTGAAACACTCCGGTCACGAGACTGGTGAGTGATTTCTAATTAGGCTGTATCCATCTACTGTTTACAGTAAATCAGTTGATGAGGTTATGAATCTTCATCGACCAAGATGATTGGGACACGTGTTGTGTATGCCTGAACACCGATTACCACGACGCACGATGCTAACCGATGTTGGAGATGGTTGGAAGAAAGTTAGGGTTGACTAAATCAAAACATGGCATCAGTGCTTGAAGTCACTAACTTCTAGTCTGAACCATGTTGGTAGATGCAGACTAGTTGCTTGGGGTGCTCGTGACTATCGTAACCAATGTTTGAAGACTCTATGTGACATGGCTCAGAATCGACCACAATGGCGTCGGTGTATACACTCTCTGTCTTCTTTTAAACTGTGAGATTAAAATCGCTTCATATCTTTCTTTCTACGAATTAGTTCTTTCTTCCTGTACTATATCGTTATATGTAATCTTTCTTTTATATATTACCACCATTGAATTAACTACTTCCATGAATCCGGTGTTCATCATGTTGTGTTAATGCGGTATGGCAATTTGCACTGATGCATATATGTGCCTGATCTTACGTTGCAGCTGACTGACTGATAGGACTCCCTGGCCCTCATCGGCTGTCTTATTGATGTCAGTCAATAAGAAATCTTTTTAGATGAACTAATCCTGACAAACCAGTCAATTGAACAAAGCAAATATGTACCACTAAATTTTAAAAACAGCCAAGTATGAAATTCCACTAACCAGAAGGTTCTAAAATTTGTTCCAAGTTAGTTCCAATACTAAGAGGACGTTTCTTCTGTTTTAACCTCCAAACTGTAACATTTTGGTCAAATTGGATATCATATTTTAGTTGAAGTAAATTAGTAATATTTTCAAAACTTCATAAATCTAGTAGGTATTTTAAAATTCCAGAAAACGAACTTCTGTTCCATTCTATACAGAATATAATCTCTTTCTAATAGAATTTACTTCAACCCTTGTGAATGAACATTGATAGATTATGAATAAGAAAAACAAAAACACCTAGATCTATTAAGTTACAAGGGTCTATCGACTTTACAAAGTTGTTTCATGAGTTAAGATCATTGATTGAGAAGATTAAAATTTCATTTTTCAATCGAAAAGTACTTATAGGTTTACTATGACTGTTATTCTTCCTCTCAATTATAACAACCTGTGACATGAATAGGAACTGAATTCAAATGCCAACCATTGTGCAACAAGTAATCCGTTGATTTATTGAATGTATACATATGTGAGCTAAATCTGAAAATTGTGTAGGTGATGATTTATAAAACTACTGAACATTAGTAATGTTTCGTTTAATTCAACTATCTTCACTTATCACTAATTTCAAAAGGTAGAACACTAAGTAAAGTTTTTCAAGGAATGTCACATAAATATTCGAAGGGGTTTTTGTGGATACTGTAGTAATTTCAATGTTAGAGATCATGAGTCAATTGAAGCTAGATCACTATGGAAAACATGGAAGTACTGGATGGCCATTTCGTTCTATTGTAGGACTCCCTAGCAGTGCGCATCCATGATCCGGCCACGTGAGTTTCAAACCCAGGACCTATCAGTCTCGCGCGCGAGCGCTTAAGCTCTAGACCACTGAGATGGCCGGCATCCAAGGGTGCTAATGCTAATTTCAACCAATGCCCACAAATGCCCTGGTAAGGCTGAGCGTGAGGAGAGTCCACTCTCGCTCTCGAAATGCACTCACATGGACACGTGTATACAACCACTTCCGGGGAAGCTCTACTCACTGCCTTCAAACGGCATTATTGTTGTCTACGAAATTCAAAGGATGAAAAGCGAATGCCGGAACTTTAACCGGGTCGGTGGACATGGAAAGTTCACTTAGTGGAGTTGGAAAACCCTGATTCAAAACCAATGGTGCACATGGACTCATGTATCCTGAGGAAACAAATGGCGTATGAACCAATCGTTGGTCACCGCCTACCATGAGACTGCACCTTTTGACCTTGCTCCACTGACTTGTGGATCAAAGCTTCAGGTCGAATGATCCGTGTGTGGCCTCTTAAGAGAACCACTCGTTTCGGTTTCGGCACTCGTGCGGTATCCCAGTCCTCACACAAATCGAATGATTTATGTGGAGCATATGTATTTGGTGCCTCATTGTACCAATGTTTATATGTTTAAATAAATAAATCAACCAATTCACGAAATTAAGCGACTTATCCACCATTGTCTTCAGTGATTTACTATCTCACGACAGATCTGATTAAACATATATATTCATTTATCTTGAGACACCTTAAGATGATTTCACAAATGATCATATATTACCGAAAGCCTGATGATCGCCTAACTCAATATAAATAACTGATTAGTGTAAGAGTAAACTAAACAGGTGAATCAAAACATACTATCAGTTTAAAAGGTTAGTTAAATATAAACTTTCTGAACAAATTTCATTAGTTTCTTTAAGTAACATTTCTTATTATAACATATCATAAACATTATCTTTCATGATCTACTAAACAGAAATAACAGAAACAACTAAACAACTAAATCTATATGAAATCATTCAACATATCAATACAAAACTTATTCAAAGTACATTTTCAAATTATTGTGCGAACATTTTGTTTTAATCATTATCAAAGGTTATTTTTGTTTATTTTCGGGTTTTTTAAAAAAGAAATACACTAATCTAGTTTACATTTTGTTTATTATTTATTAATTAAAAAAAGAAAATCATATTTCTATTTGGATTGATTGACAGAAATATTGTTTATTTGAAACTATAATACAAAACATTTTCACTATATTTTAAACGATTAAATGACTATTCAATGAAAATGGTTTTTATATGATTTTTGAATTTTGCTGATAACACATTTATTTTCATTAGTTATCTTGTTTTAAGTCGCAATTCGGATATTATGATTCAGAGTTCTGGAAAATTCTATCATTTATGTTAAGAAAAAAGAAATGAGGAAAGAAAACAAATCGAATCTGGTTACCATTATTCACCTTAACTAATATGACCTAAAGAATAGTATAATATATAAGACAATATATTTTAAATGAAATTGAAGATAAACCATTCAATAAGTAACATAAATAACAAGATAAATGAGGATCATATTTCCAAAATTTTTGATTTAAAAAAAATGTTAATGCACATTATAGTAAAAAAAACCTGACAGATTTAAAGTAAAAATTAGGCCTCACATTGGAACAGTTCGAATCTCCATGATAATTTTAACAACTGAATTTCTAAGGTCATTGAACAGTTGTTCATTCTCTGAAAATATAAAAATAACATTTAACTTGTATTTATCAACTAGAAATTGAAAGTAATACTGAGATAATTTCACAAAATTTATTACCATAAATTACTGCATTCTAAAGAGAAAAAATAAAGAAAACAATCGGTTAGATCACAATAAACCACAGAATTCAATTTCTTTTCAAATACCAACAGCGAATTTATGTCGGATGCTTTAAAGCTGGAGGTCTTGATCTCATTATTCAATAAGAAATAGTTTGTGATAATATCAACGTTTGATAGTAATAAGCTAGCGTCAAGGTCTTTCTTTCCTGGGTCTGGTTTCAGACACTTCTGTGAACATATATTGCCAACGGGTGTGGGGAATTTAGGTCAAAAGAATTTGATTTTCAGTTGTTGTTTTTAATGTAAACTTTACAGTGTCTTAGTTAAAATTATAAGAATGTGTAAAAACTTTCGAGGTTGTTTAACCAACGGTTAAACGTTTGTTTGTATGATTTAGCAATTTTAGTGAACATTTCAAAGTGGATATCCTTTTTCATTTAGATTCAGTGAATAAAAATGAAGATCATGGAAAATAATTTTTCCACAAACTAATGTATTAAAATAAATTAAAACACCTACAATCTGATCAACAATGTCATTGATGACATAAAATTCACTAGAACTCCAACGAAAAAAGCTGGAAACTCAAGTATATTGGCAGCCAACCCACTCAAATAATCATTTATAGTAGCGATAACCCCAGAATTCACAAAATCAACTGCGTACAAACTACATTCAGGAGGGCGGGAACATATACGTATAAATCCATCAAGTGACTACCTTTAAAAAGAGTGGCTGTTGACGTAGGTTCATCAAGCGATATCAATACCACTCATCAACAAAAGCAAAATTCGATTATGGAAACCGACAAATGGATCATCCTACCGTGTGTAAAATACATGTCTTATTCCAGTATCTATATTTTTTAAGTAATTGACCTATTTTCCATGATGAAACATGGATTCAGCGCTTAGTTAGTCTCATCACAACTAGTACACCTATCATCATGTTAACGACTTGTATTCTTTACTTATTGTATTTATTTATGTAATCTATTCCACTGTTATCATTAATTCATAAACAGCTTTGATTTTTTTAATAATGTCATATATGCATATAAATATTACTGTATATTAGAGTAAAGCCTGATGAAGATCTAACTGAAAACAATATCGTTTATTTAAATATTTTGTTTTAATTTATCACATTAACCATTGAAATTATGGTTTTCTATTTTTCTATTTTGTTTTTGTTTACTGATACATTTTAGTTGGCGATTATCTTGAAAAAGAATCTCGTGTATTTGAACAAAAATGGTCACACCCAACTCAAGTGAGTTATGCAACTTGAATAAATGATGAATATCAAGGACATATTGTTTCATTGGTTTAAATAGTGATGATTTAACAAATTTAAAATATTGAGCTTATTCTCTGTCTATTCTGCTTGTGAATCTCTTTATTTTATTTTTAATATTTGACTCTCGGTTAATTGAAATATGCCCATATTCATGGATGGAATTTTGTACACCATTTTTAAAAATTAGTTTATATTCAGTTCGATCATTTCCTGGACTACAGCGGTCAAACTTAATTAGAGATGGTGAAGATTTGTAGCTCAGATGGATGATTTAACTGGAGTTTTGTTCTCTGACGAAACCACCCAGCTCAAAGAACAAAACTCCACCTAAAACTTAATTAACTTATGAATGAGATTGTATTTCTTATTTCGACTACACAGAAACGTATTTAGTTCATTACTTATATACACGCATAAACAATACAGGTAAATTGAAACAGTAATATATGTAGTTCAGTTAAAACCGCGTTTTTCTAATCAAACCAACTGACATTGAAAACTACGTTGACTTTTAGTTTTTATTATAAGATTTCTCTTAGTCGTGTTTAAGGGTTTATTCAAGACACTAGTTTTTAAAGTGACATTACAATTACACACTATTTACAAATCAAATTTAGAATTGTAACCGAATTAAAATCCTTTGAATTCATGAACTTGGATTCCAGTGGTAGTTTTCAAACCAATCTTCGAAACTGATACTCAACACTTCAGATTCCACCACATTGTTCACCAGATCACTTAAATACGATAAGTAATATTACTATTCACTGAGTAAAACCCATAATAAAGTTAAAAGTTCAAACACCTAGGAATTCTTTTAAGGAACTCATATGCTAAAAAGAGACCATTTAATCCAGTTTTGAATATGATCTGCGGTAAAATGAATTGTTATCCCTCTTGCTTTGGTTTTTCTTTAACTATTTATCTAAAGTACTGTAAGAGCTGAGATAGTAAAATGTTGGTTTTCGCTCCTGTTAAAACTCTCACTACTAACTCAGAAACATTAAACTAATAACTCTTAAGTAAAATCAATCTTAGGTCATGACGTTTCATTCTTTTAACCCACAACGCGGTGAGAAACTCAAACGACGTCACTATTAACGAGCACTTGTAAGAAACTGATAAATCAATAGAGAATTTTTCAAAAACTAATGATTAACATGGTTTTTGTAACTGAACATACAAAAAATTACCATCTTGCTGAAATGTGTATAGTTTGTAAATTTCCAAGAACTATAATTAAAAACCACTTAATTTTGGACTTTAAGTAGTCCGAATTCAATATGTATACGACCGTAATGCAAACAGTACAATGTGAGTATTGTTACATTCTTTTGAAACTTGGTATTTACACAAAATTACGAAATATCGGTTATCAGTTGCGACTCATGAGTTGTCTGAATGGTTAAGGTGTCCGATGTTCAATCACTAATGAGTTGCAGCTACCGCCACTAACCTTCAAACTTAAAGTGTGACTTGATGCCAATTACATGAACGAAATGGGGCTTAATGGTAAGTTCAGATAGACCATATGATGGACAAATGTCTAATTAATATTATTCATATTACTAAATTGAGTATATTGAGTTCGTTCAAACAACTCATCTATAAACACATAAATGCTCGGCTACAAAGTACAGTAACACGTAGTAACAACCACAAAATTACAATTCCACGTCAACATTAAAATAAATATCCTAAGCCAAAAAAAGATTACCACTACAAATGATTCATGCTGTAGACGTGATCATAACTATCTGAAGCAATAAATCTTTTTGAACCTATTACCTGAATAAAATAATCCAGATTAGAATAGTTTTCTCATACATAACTTTCGTTTAACTTTATTTAAACGTATGCTGACCATATCTTATACTTTACTTTACTTAAAATGTTTAAATTAACCAACGTCTACCGATTGGTCTATCAAATAAACAAATACAATACAGATTTTTAAGATAAATCTATGTACGATCGTTTACATTTCACAAGCCATTGACATCATTGTATAACTTTTACATATTTTACGTAAATGAAATGATGTTTACAATGTCACTTAGGAACAGATTTCCATCATGAATGAAAATTATTATTAACTGAATATACAATGTTATTTATTGTCTTTGATTCATATTAAAATTTGTAAATTTATTTAAAACCATAGAGAAATATGTTTTATAAAATACACGGACATTGTTATATAATCCTACTTCTTTTCTCTCTTATTTTTTGCATTTTAACTTCCATTTGTCAGAGTAATGCAACCTTGAATCAGTTCGATCGTATAAAAACACTTGGTACAGGATCATTTGGTCGTGTCATGTTAGTGAAAGATAAAAAGACACAGATGTATTATGCAATGAAAATTCTAGAAAAACAAAAAGTAATTAAACCTATTTTTCTTCTACGTTTCAATTCTACTGATTATCAAATTTTTGTTTTGATAAAAATTAAAATAAATTTAAGCTGATCTAATAGTTAAGCGCTCACGCGCGAGACTGTTAGGTCTTGGGTTCAAATCTTGCGAGGAAGGATCGCAAATCCGCACGGCTGAGGAGTCCCAGAATAGGACGAAACAGCCGTTCAATGCTTACAGGTTTTCCATGGTGATCTAGCTTCAATCGACTCGAGTTCAACTATTAATCTTTCGAAATTATTATCAATTTTATATCAATCACTGAACAGTGTTCAATTGATAATGATTCTTAATTTACGTATATCACCACTGTGGGCACTGGAACATATTATTACCGAAAAACTCAAATGCTTGTTGTCCACTAAATTCATATAGACGTTCATTAATGACATGATGATGTCCCGTTATCTAATAATCAAACAAGCAACAATTGAATAAATTTTAAGTAATTATGAAATATGACGAATGAAATTCTTATATTTTTCTGTATCTACGTAGTTAGTTAGTCGGTCATTTTTGTGGTGTAGGTTACTTATATTCACACAAGTAGTATATAACGGTGGTCAGGCATAGAATGTATTTCAATAGAAGGTCGATGAGGAAAGAACGGCAACGGAACAAAATTGGTAGGAAAATGCAGGAACAATGAAATATGAGACAATGGATTGATATTTGCAAAAGAAACAGTCAAGTTTGAGACGATGGGTTGATATTTTGCAAATTAACGATTTACTATATGGTTCTCAGATTCTAGTGAAATGCTCTGTAATTTCGTGTCAAATACATTTTGGTTGTCCCCACTCGTTTTCTTGTTCACTGCAATTCTATTTGGTTTCTGTTATGTACTCGACATGAGGCTGCATTATATAAACAAGTTAACATTTCGGTCACTCCATCTATTCTAATTAGTTCAATAATCAACTAAGTCTTCATAATGAGTTTCTGATCATTCATGGCGTTAAGAAACAAGTTATAAGTTTTAGATCGTTGCAAACTAGTATTGATATTCAGGTAGAGAGTTTCGTTCTCCTAGATCATACTTTCGTTGATAGATAGCTCTGACTAATCATTACATTGTAACCACTGATCTATGTATCGACTGAAAATTCATTTAAACTAACCTGTAGTATATATGCAACTTATATTGTTATCATTATCAACAACATCAAGAAGCAGCATTAATAAAAGATGGATAGTGAATAGCAGTGGAATCCAGGACGTGCGTTTCATCCTATTTGGGGCTCGTTGGCCGGATGTACCTGAATCTCAGAGTTGATGTTCATTCTGGGACTTGAGCCCAGTACCGTTTGCTTCAAACGTCACCGCGTTATCCACTTAGCTACTGAGTTTTGATAGCCACTTGCTTGTGCAATGGGGTGAAGTTTAATTCATTTGGTATTGTTTTACTTGAATCTTCCCATTGATGTTTAGGATTGCAATTGATCAGTCTCTTATTGGCATATGTACATACTGTGTGTTTCGCCTCGATATTGCCTTAATTTACAAGCATTATAAGCAAAGATGGGTAGTGGCTAGAAGTACAATCCAGGACTCACGTTTCAAGTAAAACAATACCAAGTGAAGTAGCATTAATAGTTTCCAATGTTTTTTTCGTTGTTTTGAAATTTGTCACAGGTTGTCAAACTCAAACAAGTAGAACATACATTGAATGAGAAAAAAATTTTACAAGCAATCAATTTTCCTTTTCTTGTCAGTATGGATTTTAGTTTTAAAGTAAGTAAATGTCAAACTAATAATTTCTTATTAGCTACAATGAATAAAATTATCAACATTTTGTTTAATATGTAAATATGTGCTGTTGTTGTTTTTAAACTTACTGTTCATTGACTGATGACATTAGATAGAGATTGGACTATACAAGAAAATGATTAAAGTTAAAATCTTATCAGTTGAATGGGTCATATTTATAGGTAAAATTAGGAAGTATTAGATTTTAAACCTGATGAAGTCGTGGATAGACACTGTCATGATTTCCTAGTTGTTGTTTTTTAATATCACTTTGAATTCTGTTCCAATAGACGTTGGTTTAAAGTGAATGTCACTTTAAAACTAAATAAATCTTTGTAATAATCTTCATAATACTCTAGATACATAGATATCAAACTATTTTCATTAACTGTTTTTAGTTAGCTTTTAATGACAACCTGAGTTTTTCCTCAAACGAACGTGACTTTCACCCTGATAAAAATAATCTGGGCATATTTAGCTACATGTTCATTCTTGAATCAATAAAATTTACGACCGTATTCGTTATCTGATCAGTAAAATTAGCAAACAATAAGAGTCAAACAACATAACAATTGTTTATATTAAAGAATGATTAACGTGATCATTTTGGTGGTAGATCGATGTTAGAAACGGGAACAAAAGTTATGAGAAGAAGAACAGGACACAAAATGTATAAACACAGTTAAGGTTGATACTTATTTATATGCTGGAGAAAATAATCTTACAGAATACAGGGAGTAATGTGATCATTAATAATAAACATCTTTAAGAAACAATGAATGTGTAGTCAGAATGAAAATAGCTAATAACTACATAATTACTGAGTTTAAATTAAAACTAAAATGAAATGAATACGTTATCAGTGATAAAAAGATGTAAGAGATAAAAAGAGGTTGAAAGCGAGAGAAGTTGATTAAAGACATTTATTCGATCTCAATCATAGTCATAATTGTAAGGAGAGGCGATGCATGATCCTCTTCTGTTTACATATATCAGAACGGAAACGTTTGATAACAGTTGTCTTATCGAACCAACGTAAAATTAATGTTGGTTGTTTGTTAATTATTTGAATAAAAGACTAATATTCACTGTATGTTTACCATCTATCAAGTACCTTCCAACTGAACTTGTGCAGATTATTGCTTTTCAAAAGTACGTACCCAGAAATCTGTTTAAGAAACTTAGTATAAGTATTTCGGAAAGCAAAACCTTCGTATTCAATAGTCTTTCAACAATACTGAAGGAACAACTGATAGGAGAAATATACCTCTTACTAAGTTGATTTTTCTATACAACACTGAATGTTCGTTAGATAATTCAAAGGTAGATCGGTACATCTCCAACATCACTTTCAGTTTAATATATGGATTTAGATGTACCTGCGGTAGCAGCATATATTAAAAGGATAGGAAAACGTTTCTACCAGGTTTCATGAATACTCTAGACAAGTGATAGATAATAGACATGTTATAGATATCAGTCATCCCTCCAAATAATTAACGAATAACCAATATCAATTTTACTCTGCTTCACTATAACAATTGCCAATAAACATTCCAGATCTGACCTGTGTGAAAAGAAGAGTATAGTAATAATTAGTTCAGTGCTTCCAGGTTTTTTATGGTGGTCTAGCTTCAATTGACTCATGATCTCAACTATTGAAATTGCCACAATCTCCACGAAACCCCTTCTGATACTAAGTTATTTAATTATTTATTTCTAATAATAGTTATCGAAAAATTAATGCTCTCCCTAAACAAATAATTCGTTATTACTATGCATTGTCATTTAATATACCTTATGGAATACTTAGCAATTCATGATGCGACAATGTTCATTCTTTAATTTATTAGGCTAGTGCTAGTTACTTTTCATTTAATTTGTAATAAACAGAATGCTTATTGATTTCCAAGTTTTTGATGCCAAAAAAAAATACACAACAATTTTCCAATGATTTTCATCATGACACAAAATAGATTCAAGCATAATTGTTGAAAACAACATGTATTAAAGTGCAATTAAAAAAAAGTAAAGTAACATCGTCATGAGTGTAACATTACAGTGACAAATTGAAAAGAACATAATATAGACCATTATATTTGTAAAGTTAAAAGTGTAGTTTGAGCTGAGATCGCAAACCGTAAACGTCATTATATCATTCTAGGCACTATTCTTAATGTAGTTTAAAAATACTTAAAAATAGTGAATCCATATATACATAGTGCCAATAACTGCATGCTTACTACTCAGATTGTTTTTCGTATTGAGATATATTAAAGTAGTATGTAATTATGTCTCAGAACTAATTAAGATTCAGTATATTTCTGTATGATCTAAAGTTATTATTTATTACGAAGCATAACAACTGAAGAACTTCAGAAAAACAAGGGGTTGTTGAACAGCTATTTCTTCCTAGTTATGATCACATTACAAATACAATTCTATGGTCACTAGTAGGATTTAACCACAGACCTTAATATGTTGAGGTGATCACAATATAATTGAGCAACTAAGGTAAAATCCAATGATGAACATTTTCAATTTAATTCGTTTATGATATGGTGTGATTCGTACTCGAACAAATGACTAGTATTCATCCATCTCAATAATTCATCTCGAAAACCATCTTGCTCCCTATTGACTAACCTTAAAATAGATTTCCAGAGTTTCTGATACAGTACAGTGACCTGAAGAGTCAACCAATTAGAACGTAAAATACTAACGCAAAGCTAGTAATAGAAACGTATAGCCGTATTTGACAAAATATCTGTAGTTAAAATTGAAAAACTTTGGCATCTAGCTTCATAGCTTGTTGTAAACTTTTTGTCGCATCAAGTCCACATTTGTGGACGCAAACTACAGGAAACTTACAAACTAGAATGAAAGAACTTAAGATATAAATTTTAATTTTTTTCTCTTTTTCTATCCTGATGACTGATTAACATAATTGAAGTTCAACCTAAATTTAGCTATAATTTGTTTAAATTTGACTTTCTTTTATATGCTAAAATTCCAAATCAAAGGATAATTCAAATTTGTATATGGTACTTGAGTTTGTCAGTGGAGGTGAAATGTTTTCCTATTTAAGAAGAGTTGGGAAATTCAGGTGAGATATACAAAGCTTTTGCAACATAATAACTTTTTTTCATTTGTATATAGCTCAAATTAGAAATGTGAATTCGTCAGTACTTCTGCTCAACATGATCATTTTTATTACTAGTTACCAACTAATTTCGAGAAGCGTTCAATACATTCCATTATTTTCCTTTATGACAATCTTTAGAAAATAAGTTTAACAACTCAATGTGTATATATTCAGTTGTCTAACTAATCATAATAATTGCTAGTAAAAAGTCATGGCCATTGAAGAACAACCATTTTTATCGAAAGATAGATACCCATCTATTATGTTCTTTATGACCCTGTTTATTATCACATGACTAAAACGCCGATTAGAACACTGACGTATATGAGCTTAGCCTGGTGCCAAACCAATGACGCGTTAAGCGGTACGAGCTGCCTAGAGCCTACTCTGAGTCCTTAATATTTCTTCTTGCCTTGCCTTGCTTGTTGAGTCCAGAACGCAATCTCAGCATCCACTGTATGAATCATGTATTTCATACATACGCAGTCCATATACAACCAAATCAGACCGTATTATACCATAAAACAGAAAATAACAATTATACAAGATCAAGACAAAAGTAGATGTGAGTGTGAGATAGTGTAACTAATAAATCGGAAATAAGTTAAGAATTGTAAGTCGTATAATAGTAGCTAATAGGTCAACTAAAATCATATGACAAGAGAAATATGAATATGTATAATTTAGCTATTTAATAGTTATACAATAAGAATGTATATATAATAACTAATTAGCATTAGAGCTGAACAATCAGTAAAACAGACAAAGTTGTTTGTACACAATATTTCAACATAATTTTAGAGGAATTCCTAAAACTGTCATTCTCCGATTTCAACACCGACGTAGTGAGTCTTTATAAATACTACTAAGTTTTTACTTTACTTTGTATAAACGACTTATTCCAACAAAATTACAACATTTCTGTATCGACAAAACTATTCAAAGTATAAAATAAATCACACCTCATATCTTGAACTAAATCATCAATCTTAATAATCAACATTGCATGTATAAATTTATGCTCCAACTATGGTCACAGCAGATAGTTTGATTAGGTAGTAATTTGCTTAGGAGTAAACTGTTAAATAGTTAGAGGCTATTAATAAAAACTTAGAAATACAGATGTCATACTAGCTGACATATTTCATACCCTAAAGGAACTGATACTTTTACTAGGAAGTTTACCTCATTCACCTAATGACACCAACTTATAAAAAGGGTCCTCTTCATCCGATATGTACACTTGTGAATATGTTTAAGTCAATGAAATGCTATGTATCAGTTAGACAAATTGTTTCAACAGGGCTTCAAACAATACGTTCAGTTTCTTTTTATCAAAGAACTTATTAAATATACTAAATAATTCTTCTTCTCTATTTCTGTTCATATTCTAGTGAAGAAGATTCACGTTTCTACGCAAGTCAAGTTGTACTGGCATTTGAATATCTGCATTCTTTTGATTTAATCTACAGGGATTTAAAACCTGAGAATTTATTGATTGCTAGTGATGGTTATTTAAAAGTAAGCTGTATGATTAAACAACAAAACTAGTTAAAATTGATTAGTTCGACTTTTATTTAGGTCCAATGTACAAACATGACCAAACATTTCAATATTTGAAGTATTGGCTAAATGTCTGCATTTCCAATAAATGAATCAATAAGTCAAATATTATCAATTTCATAAGGTTAGAAGACCCATAAAAACCCCTGCAGTTTGTAGTAAACTGAAGATACAATTTAGGCTTTAACGTATCAGAGGAAGGTATCAACAGTACATGCTTCAGTGGAATCCAGGACGTGCGTTTCGTCTTATTTGGGACTCGTCAGTCGGATGTACCTGAATCTCAGAGTTGATATTCACTCTGGGACTCGAACCCAGTACCGTTTGTTTCAAACGCCATCGCGTTATCCACTCAGCTACTGAGTCCTGATAGCCACTTGCTTGTGCAACGGGGTGAATTTTAATTCACTTGGTATTGTTTGGCGTTTGAAGCGAATGGTACTGGGTTCGAGTCCCAGAGTGAACATCAACTCTTTGAGATGCAGGTACATCCAGCTGACGTGCCCCAAATAGGACGAAACGCGCGTCAAACTGGATTCCACTGCTGGCCACTATCCATTATTGCTTACAAATAGCTTGTGAATTAAGGTAATATCGAGGCATACGCACAGTATGCACATATGCCAATAAGAGACTGATCGATAGCAGTCTTAAACCTCAATGGGAAGATACAAGCCAAACAATACCAAGTGAGTACATGCTTCAGTATAGATTCCAGTACTTCACGAAGTTTTGGTATAAATAAGCATTTAGATGATTTTGGTTTTTCTACTTTCTGTGAGTTACCTTTGAAATCATCACCCTTAGATGAAAGGGACTAATAAGTTATGTTATTATCGACATCATCGTTTAGCTAACGGAACTTTTCTTTAAGATTATCTCTTAACATATACTAAAGTTGTAGAGAGATTAAAATATTTAACTTTCAATAGGGAAGATTAGATATTTATCCAATATTTAAAGCAACAGTTCTTTGTTCAAATCTCATCTTATAGATGTGTTTGGATATAGTAGGTATGATATTCTCCAATTATTCACATTAATGAATGGAGATTGTTTGAACTATTAAAATTGTTACATTTTACATGTTACATATTATTCTCAAGTTACCTTTGTCATCAATAAATACTGAATACATTCTCAATACCCCTTTATTAGATCTGTTGGATGAACCTTCAGCATAGCAAAAAGTATTTCACTGAAATGTTAATAAGGCCTTGATTTTAACATATTTATCTGTTACGCTTATTGTTCCTTTTTAAAGTGTATGAACTGATTCCTCAATTTTTTCGTGTCCATTTTATAAAAAAATAATTCTAGGTTAGTGGATTCTCATATAGTCATACAGTCAAGTTCATGTTTTGTTTTTCAGATCGAAACCTCTAAATATTCTGAAGTCATCTCCTATAAATGTACTTTGATAAGATAATCTACATCAAGCAATGTTATCCTGATTAATATGCAGATTTGACTGAATATATTTGATTGATTTAACTTCTTTTCCCTTTAAAAGAAAAAACAACCCTGTTACTTTTTTTATTTATTATTAACCATTAGAAAATACATTGAATTCTGAATATAGACATTAGTTTAAATGTTATAAGACAAATATGTTGTTGGTTATTTTGACTATTTAACAAACCAGGTGCACTGATAAATTAGTTTATCCTGATATAAACAGACTGTTGTTACTTTTTTTTCTCAGCATAAAGCAACGTGAATGACAAAGAAACATGATAGAATCAGTTCATTCCTTCAACATATCTAATCTAATTAACATTATCCTTTCAAATTTATTAGACAATTTCCAAATATATATGTATCAGTGTATCCAATAGAATTATTTAGATATCACTATTACTTTTTTATAAATAGTGAGCTGTTTTTTCTCTTTTCACCACTCGATTTCTAGTTGAATAAACTAATAACCAAGTATTCATTAAATACTTCAAAATATCAGTATAGGATTGTGGAGATTATTAAGTTTCTGATTGAGATCATGAATCCATCCTGCTAGCGGGATCGTTGTTACACACTGCTGAGGAGTCACATAATAGGACAAGACGGCGGTCCAGTACTTCCATGTTTCCAATGGTGGTTTAACATCAATCAATTCATGATCTCAATCAAAGACTTAAAAATATTTCTACGACATTTTAAGGAGAAAATATAACTTGAGTAGACAATCAAGTCATAAATGAAACAATAATTTATTCATAACATTGAATAAAGATTACTTTCTATCATTGGTTGTTACATACTGGTTAAAAAAACTTCAAACTAGAATTCTCAGTTCCTAAGTTGACTTCAATTAGTAATAAACATCATCATCAATATACAATGAGTTATTCATTTTAAATGACCTACTGAGTAACGTAAAGTTTATATTTGGATTTAACGTGAAATGTTCCGTTGTATTGCTACCAATGACAAACAGGATATCACTTAATGAATGTAGGTAGTTTTCCTAAAATTCTGATCTCATTGCCAAACATCGACTTCTTTCATTGTAGTCATTGGTAATTTTTTGTCAACCTATTCAAACGTTAAAGGCTATCTTCAAATTTTTAAAAGCTATTTAAAAAGTGAAGCAAATCTTTTCGTACATTAAGAGTTTATTCATTACCAATATATATAATAGATACTTTTCTTCTATTTTCATTAGGTTACCGACTTTGGATTTGCCAAAAAAATCAAAGGACGAACATGGACATTATGTGGAACACCAGAATATCTTGCCCCCGAAATTATTCTAAGCAAAGTGAGTGTTATTTATAATGTACATGGGATTGTAACTGCGATAAAGTTACTTAAGTTATATAAAATGCAAGACAATAAAACACTAACCAAAATCTGGTTGTCGCGACCCAATTTGCTTATTGCTCTAATTAATCAGGCATACCAGAAGGTGTCAGCTGCTTCATGATCGTAGAGATGCCTTATGAAGTTAATATTACGTTTCTTGTAAGATGTCCTATCTGATTATTATCTCATTCTCATTGTTGTAGTTTAAAGTACCTACACTCTTTTATCCCTAGTCGTTGATACTGAGTGATCACCAAAGGATAGTTATAGACCAACTACAATATCACTTGTTCCCAACGCGATTACCAATCCTGAAGTGACTATCGTTCTTCCTTTGTTTAAGCTTGTTAGGTCTTATTTTTTGAAATAAAAAGTAATGAAATTGAATGCTTTAGATGCTAATCATAAGGCATACTGGAGTTGGAATTATCTTTTTTCGGTAGTATTATGTTCATTAAGAATTATCACGTCGGAACCAATTTTAAACAGTTGAAAGAAAACATTCTGCTAACTCTACAAAATACTGAAAACTAATAACAGCGATAACCATAACCATTCTTGATTATCATAATCATAAAATGTGATAAATGATCAAAGTAACGACCATCATATTATCTAACCTTTAAGAAATGTATACTACAAATATTGGGAAACTATTAAAGGGAATGGAACAAATCAAATACTTCTATTGTTGCATTTTCTGTAACTTTATATTTCGTTTTGACTGTTGTTAACACGTTGTAACACGAATGTTAGCCCATTAGCCTTGATTAAGGTTGATGTTATGTTCATACCTTAAGTATAACAAAGTAGTACACTCCGGTGTAACATATTCTAACAAAAAAATCTTAAGAACGTTTGTAATTATGCTGGCTATAGCTTGATTTGTTCCGCTTGTAAAAAGGTATATACTTTCATACAACTTTGAGCAAAAAACCTATTTATTAACCTCCGTTGAAGGTCTAGAGGTTTCATATAACAAGACAGGTTTACGTCGAACATATTCATGAATTATAGTAATATGTGTTTGATAAATTGGTTATTAAATTAATCAGCCAAGGGATATTACCAGGGATACAGGCACTAAAACAACCGAAGATTACTTATGGCATTTAAAAAATGATTGTGGTGGTATTAATTTATAGGTCGACAAAGGTGTCTAGTACAATAATGCGCTTTTTATGCCATTTGAATATAAAACTTACTTCAAAAGTCAATAAAATCCATTGTATGTAGAAATGTATATTGGTTAGCAGTGGAATGAAGAATGCGCGTTTCATCCAATTTGGGACTCTTCAGTTGGACTTAAGGCAATTCCGAAGCAATTCACACAGAATGCACGTATGCACGCAAGCTAAAGATGTTTAAAATATATTGAAATAAACCTTGATGCACATCCCTTAAGTTTATTTGCAAAAAATACAACCTGAAGAATAAAATTATCAATACAAGTAAAACGAAAGAAACTCTTGCAAACTTTTACAGTTAACTTAAATAAGTATCTTTTAGTAACATATAAATGACAGAAATTCATGCTAATTAGTAGAACCGCTATTAACACAGTTCATTATTTATTCCATACTCACCTATTTACCGAATGTTTAAGGAAATACATGTCTAAATGAGTATTTTTGTGCTATAATTAACCGTTCAAAATCTAAATTCAGTGGTCATATAGACAACACAAGGTTTACAAACATAGATGATTAGTTTAAGAAGGAACATTGAATGGTTCTCCAAAACACTATATTTCAAGCACCGAAATTCGTGGTTCTGAATTTCGATTTATAATGTAATTTTTTGAAGAGTTCTTCCATTTTTCTACTGCTTTATTTATGAATAAATCGATAAATGAAACTCTAGGGCTACAATAAAGCTGTGGATTGGTGGGCACTGGGTATTTTGATCTATGAAATGGCTTGTGGATATCCACCATTTTTCGCAGATCAACCTATAGAAATTTATGAGAAAATTGTTGCTGGTAAAGTAAGTCTACTGTGTTTGTCACTAATACTTTCTAATAACTTCAGAATAAAGTATCACATTCTTTCTATCGTCACTCGGATGACCAATAATAGCAAGACTATAATTTATGGATGGACCAATCAAATATAAAATAACATGTCCCGGATTTTGGCGCGAAATTCACCCATTCATTTGGCTAAATAGAGTTTTGGCAATATAGCTGATGTCAGTTTGTAATGAAAACCCTAGATCTAATACCTAACCTTAACCATCAACTGTAAATCATAATTCTAATTCCCCACACTGGTTTATAATCCTCTTTTGGTCCTAGTTATTAGATAGACACTCTCAAGGTCAGTTTAGCGTCGCTTAAACGTCGTCTACAAATTATGGTCTCACTTCAATAAGTCTCTACAAATTTTAAAAACTGCTTGTGTATAAAAAAAGGCTTAAATCGCATCGAAGATGTTTGAAAATACAATAAAATATTCTTAATACTTGAACGTTCCCTAGATAACGGTCAGTAGGCAATATAAATATTGACATGCTTTTCGATGATTTCTTAACACATGAATTCACTGCTAAGCATTGATTTATTCCAAACACGATTGTTTATAATTTTTTTTCATAATAAGCTGTATATTGACTTACAAACATAATAATTACGTCAAGGATTTCAACCGAAGCGTATTTTAATGCGATTTACATGTGGTTTGTGAATAATGATATACACAACTCCATCATATGACGGTATACTTTGGCATATGTGACTTGTGTTTTAGAATATGATTATTCTGCTTCTGTATATAAACATGGTTGTTTCTTCAAAGTACAATGTTTATCCTGAGAGATAAACAGTCTATCATTGTTTACTTCTTATCGTCTTAATTCATTATGAAGGTTGTGACATTTCAGTTTTGAAAATAACAATCACAATAAAAACAATAATAAGTAATCAAACAAACATGTGGAAATTGATAATTTTTTGTTCAGCATCCATTTTCCCCAAAAGCTTCTTCACGCCATATCATGAATATAATTAGAATCCGTAAAAACTTTGAGATAGCTTGATTTGTCTATGTCCTGACACTTGCACATCTTATTTTCATTTCCGATATTTTCACAAACTACTGTATCAATGGTTTATCAGCTATCATTATAATTAATATAATTCAAAAAAAGTTGGCTTATATGATCTACTAATTAGATATAATTGATCATCATTGAATTTGTCTACTGGTTAAAAATGCATATAGACTTTTCCTATTTTCTATTCATTTATTAAGAGCTCACTTTCAGATTCATGCAGAGACAAGCCTACAACTTTTGAGATATTAGTGGTAGTCATGGTACAAACAAGTCACCAAGTTGATACTTAATAATTAGCATTTTGCATTTTGGCTTAATATAAAATATAAAATGACTATGGCTGATATCGTTATTGAGCATCGATTAGCATAGTCAAACATACAGAGTAGTTCAGTTAATTAGTATCTGTATTCTCAGCTATGCTAAGCACAAATTCATTCAGTCATTACCTTTCCAGTTATTTTTTTGTCTGGGATAATTTGAGAAGACACATACTTCTAACAGAACAAATTCAGATACTGGTACAAAACCAGTTTTGCAGAAGACGCCAAAATAACAAATAAGTATTGGTACCGCATAGTTATTAAATTATTAAGTAGTTAGATGAATGCTGATTAGATGATTGACTAGCCTTGAAAAACAAATAAACATTTCTTTAACAAATCTATATTATTCAACCCCAAATTAATGTATAACTTATTATTTATTCATTTATTTTATAATTAATTTAATTTCTTTGTGTTTTGTACTTTTATTAGGTGAGATTTCCCGGACATGTTAGTAGTGATCTGAAAAATCTTCTTAAACAATTGTTACAAACAGATTTGACAAAACGTTACGGTAATTTAAAAAATGGTGTCGATGATATCAAATGTCATAAATGGTTCCGGCCAACTAATTGGGTTGCAGTTTATCAAAAAGAAGTGGGTATTCATTATTCCTTTTGCTAACACTTTTGTACTACAACATACATTTCGTACCTTTGGTGGTTATGTGCACAACCCGTACAGTTTTCCATGACGAACAGTATCTGTAAAATCAGTTCAGCATTAAAAGATGAATTAAGATTGTTTGATATAGAGAACTGATATTAGTGTGGATATGGGGGTTGTGGAGATTATTAAGGTTTTGATTGAGATCATGAACCGACTGATGTTAGACCACCATTGACAAGTATCTACCTCAGTACAGTGGAAGATGATCGCACAATTTCGTGGATTGGTTGACCTCAGACATTAACACCATTGGATGCCGGCTCAATGGTCCAGTAGGTTAAGCGTTCGCGCGCAAGATTGAAGGCTCTAGGTTGGAATCACGAGAGGTGGCGGGACCGTGGATGCGCACTGCTGAGGAGTCACACAATAGGACGAAACGGCCATCCAGTGCTTCCAGGTTTTCAATGGTGGTCTAACATCAATCGGTCCATGATCTCAATGAAGAACTGATATTAGTTAAAGCAAATGGTAATGGTATGACCTAAAAGCTTTGGTTAAACCTAGTGAATGTTCATAATAAGAAATTGATTCATGCTTGTCATATAGTGCCATGTATTTCACTGATTTGATTGAATTGACGGATGCGAATCAAACACAATATATTTCGAATCTACAATCATAGACAAGTTCTATTTTGACATTTAGAATCGATCCATAAATTATTATAATAAGATGTCAAGACAGATGTGTAACCAGTTATCACAGAAGGTTACCGGTCTTGTCAAAGTATCTCAATAAGATAGTCCATTACGTGTTTAATTTTAATTTTATGGAGTGTTCAATGTGATTTAACTTTATTTACATCAACCAAAGTTTTACAATAGTGGTGGATTGGAATAACTCATTTTGTTTATCGATTGCGTCTCTTCTGATTGAGATTATAATTAACGACCCATTATTTATATAGAGAGATGATTCTTGTTAGTATAACCAAGCTAATGGAGATTGTAGAACTTTTATAATTTAAACCAAGAATTAATCTTAGCTAGACCATTACTGTAAACCGAAAAGAACAAACAGCTGTTTGGTCCTCACATGGGAATCCTCAATAGTGCTAAGAACAGGAGGCTTGAAATAACTATACACTGATCCTCAAAAAAACATTTTCAGCCTGTTTACTTCTTCAGATCACTAACTAACACTTATATCAAAATGATTACGCCGAATACCTTTTTTACTGGAATTTTTTATTCAAAGCCAACCTACTATTAATAGAAAGCTCTGATATCGGAGGTAAATCGATCCTTTCCCATTAGTGAGCATTAAATAAATTTAAATTTAACCATTTATCCGAAATAAAATGTATAATATTGTATGACTTTATAGTAGTCAGTAAAATTTCTAATAATCTCACAACCATTCTTTTGCTTGATATTTTGGAGACAATTCATACACAATGTTAAGTGATTTTAAACTTTCTGTCTTCCTTCCTAGAAATCATTTCAATCTAAATGAAAATGAATTGAATGGCAACTACTAATATTTTTTTAAGTATAATTCTCTTAGAAACCATATTATTTTATTTATTTTTATTTGAAACAACCCTAAATCTACTAAAGAATAGATGAAATTCTTGCCGTTTTATAATCTATGTACAACACTTAGTGCTTTTATTTAAGACTATGGAGGTATAGATATTATGGTGTATAAATTTATTATTAGTTCGCCTTTGTATGTGGCTTCCTTTTCATTTCCAACAACTTAAAAAGTGCCATATGCAAAGGTATTATCTACTGGTCTTATAAACTATTACTTCAAGAAACGGATTACAGTGTGTAGATTATGAAGCATGTTATTTTCACCGATATGTTTGAAAATATTCGTCAGTAGAATTTGATTTAAAGATAAATGATTAAGACAATTGTCTTTAAACCTGGAGGACATGAATGTGACCACTGTTGGTATCGTGGGTCCTTATTGCCTAGGAACCCTGAAATAAGGGTCATAATCGCCCATTTTTAGGAAGCTCGAAATTACAGAGAGAGGACTGCCTGCAGCTACATGGTCTTCAGTAGTTTTTACCCTTATATCAGTTTATGACAGAAATAATTTTCAAATTAAACAAAACTTCATAAGACATCATCGTAAATTGTAGGTTTATTATAATTTCTAAAGGGGAAAAATCGTACATTTAAGGAATCAAGTAGTTCGATAATACCACTAGGCTAAGTGACACAATGGCTCAGTACATTTTAGTCACAGTTAAATAATAAAAGCAGCTAAAATTAACTAGTGGATAAGTCTGAACTGATGTCACCGCCATATAGTTATAAATTGTTAGCGGAATACACTTTTTCCTAAAGTATTATTCCACATGTCTCTTCAAAGAGCTGTTTAACAATCTTAACCAGAAATAATGCATTTAATTTTCTGTCTCACTTTGTTACCTGAGCATACTTACGCTTAATAAAAATAATCAACTAATTTTGGAAACTGATGCCCTAAAACTACCTTGCAACTTCGTGATCGATTCACAGAATCATCCCGACTTATTTTATCATTATAACTATCATTATGATTACAGTTTTTATGATGATAACGCACATATTTTAAAAACTTTGTTTTCCAACGTTTTCAGATATGTGCCCCATTCTTACCGCCATGTAAAGGGCCCGGTGACACAAGTAATTTCGATGATTATGAGGAGGAACCACTTCGAATATCTAAAACAGATTATTGTTCAAAAGAATTTGAAGAATTCTGACGAAAAACGAATCAAAGTGAATGAGTTAAATACACAAAAGACATTTAAATCAAATATTATTAACAGTGCTTATTTTTTATTTCCAGGTTTCACTTCAAATCCCAGTCTGTGTTTGATACACTCGTCTGAAACTATGGGGCACATGGAATGAAAATAGACGAAAGATAAAACATTAATTAGGCACATGGATTTGTGTGTGCAAATACAAGATCCTTACTTTTCGGTACTATTCAAACATTCATTATGTGTATATGTGTGTACAAGTATGTAACGAACACATTTACACCTAAATATGTTCTGATACCGCCTTTTATCACGATACTTTCAATGAACAAATGATGCCATAAAGTATCTAGTCTGATTTGTATATTTTAAGCCTTTCTATCATTTTGTATGGATTAATACAAGTTCACTAACTTCTTAGTTTATGAGGTTGAAACTACTCAGAATTTTATTTTCTTTGTTTTCCCTGTAAACTATCATATTTTTATTCTGTAAATGAAGTAACAAATAATCACTGAATGTCACTAGTTTTTTGTTGGGGGGGGAAGTATTCGCTATTCATCATAAATGTATGTTTATTGTATGTCTACATATGTTTGAATACTGAGGTATACATAAATATTTGTGTAACCCAAATATACTACTGTCTTTGTTAGGTACAAAACATATCTATGGTTGAAATATTATTTTATTTATTAGAAGAAAAAGTTACAGAAAGTATTCTATAACTGTATAAGCTTTTGAAAAAAAAATCTCTCTTTTTAAATCTATATTCTTGAGTTTTATTAGTAGTATAGGGAAACAATAATTAATTAACGTTGGTTTTATTGAATACCTTCGAATGTTTGTCACTTTTATCTATCAAGCTGACTACTCACAAGTAGCTAAGTAAGTATTTAAAAACTTTGACCGTTATTCATTTATATGAAAATCTATTAACATTCATCATTTGAATTAGATAAGTTTTCACAGTTACCCCTCATTTATATGTGACGTTCTTAATAAATCCTAATTCAGTAAATGTGTACAGCCGTCAAGATTTGGACATCAATAAAATGTAGAACCAATCATTAAATACTCCCCTGGATTATCGGCATAAATTAGTACACAGATCATTCATTGTCCAATATGACACACGATTCTCATGGAGGCCGGGGTTAAAGTCCTCTAGAATATTCCTAGATTCGATTATCTTTTAGATCAAGTTCAATATGAAGTGATTCTGTAATAAAAGAATACAGTACTATTAACGATGGAAAGCAATAGTATCAAAATAAAATGATAAGTGAAGAAGTAATGAAAATGAAAATGGTGCGTAACACGAGCAAAGGAAAACTGCTGAGTGCAACAGTAGACCATTTATTCGCTTTTTACTTCATAAGAGTCTTATTTTCTGTAGTGTGATTCTTGATCAAAGTACGTGTTTGTCGATCTGTTAATGCAATTATTAATGAGTTCTTCTCAAATTCGAATTTTACGCCGCTGAATTTGTCTGAAATTCCTCTCGAGTTCCATTATTAGTACAAAATATATTAATCCATAAAGTCTCGAAATCAACTAGTGATGCTACATTGTCTAACTAAAGGTGAGCGTCTGAGTCATTAAATTTTGAAAAGTGATTTTAAGAGGCAGCACTCTAGAGTCAGATTAAGTTTAGAGATTCCATATTAAAAATTAGTGTGTAAGCTAGTTGGTTAATCTTCCTATTTTCAATATCTGAATTAATTTATACACCTTATACTATTGAAGCCAGTAGGTCCTGGGTTCGAGCCCCGCGTGGTGCGGGATCGTGGATGCGCACTGCTGAGAAGTCCCATACTAGGACGAAACGGCCGTCCAGTGCTTCCAGGTTTTCAATGGTGGTCTAGCTTCAACTGACTCATGATTTCAATCTGTGGGATTTTAAAATACTTTGTTCGAAATATATTGAATTTCTCTTGAGAGTACACTTCCCTAATTGTTTACGGCTAAAATTTGATGTACTTTCATATATACTTTCCGTCCTGAATAATTCATCTGGCACTTCAACTTTAGAAAATTAACTTTGTTGATATTTATACAGTCTGACCAACCAACTGCAGTCCAGTATTCTTGTACTGCACTTAAACCTAGGAGTATTATATTTGGAATTTTGTTTTGTAAAGATGTTGTGTTTGTAACCAACGAAGATAACTTTTTACATTATTGTATGTGTTATTCTAACTTCAGTTCAATAAATTCACATGTGTAAATGGTTATACTTTTTACTTGAATAATGGTCTACTTTTGACTATTAGAGTACATTTTGAAAAAATTCTTGGGATTGCTAGTTCAAATACTACATTCATTACTATTACTACTTATACTAGAAGACCTGAATCATTTCGATAAACGTCAATTTCGAACACACTTATAACAAACAGTTTTTACAATTTCACTTTTATCTACAATACTAACTTTTAATACACATATGTACGAATATTGTCTGTCATTTTTATTAAGCCTCTTATCTTATACTTTAAAATACTGGTCGTATGTAACTTTCTAGCTTATATTGCATAATCGTGTGGTATTTAAGTAGAATCTTTTCCACTTATTTATTATTACACTACGTTTTTAACAACTTTTCCAAGTTAATGTAAATTTCAAGGACTCTGTTTTACTACAATGATCATCTCTGTAAAAATAATGCATATCTGTTCTGACATTAGTAAATATAGTTAATGTTCAAAACTTGCCAAATCATCAGACACAGCAGTAAATCTTATTATTTCCGTTAGTGTTGTCAACTTTAACAGTTAAAATTAAATAATTTACATAAACCTGAGAACTATATATATATATACGTCCCATGTATCCGTTAATGCAAACAGATTGTAATAGGAAAGAAGCTCTTCAGAGAACGCAAACGTGCAAACTCAGTTTAATAAAAGATGACTTGATATTTATGGTTTGAAAGAAAAACAGGCTGAAGACGTATGACGAATAGAGTAAGCGTTAAACGCACACGTAAACATACGCTCAAATAGAAACAATCAAGATTACAAGTGAATAAATGATAAGACCAAGTATATTTGTGGATATTGACTCGAAAAAGAATAAATTAATTGGACCATCAAAATGCTAGAATAATCCACTTGGGCATGAAATTGTACTAAATGCTACAAATTGACAAACTATAAACCATATAAAGCGTTTAGAATTCCGATAACATTAATAATAGCTTAGGAATATGATAACTCATTTCAGAGAACTTAGCATCAGATAATATTACAATGTGTCATTTTTCATAAGCTAAGAAACATGGAAACTATTTTTTAAAAACCATAAAATTTGAATTTATTTCTAAAAATCTGCATTATCGAGACATTCAGAACTTTTAGATAGGCCTCTAAAAGCGTGTGACCCTACAGGAAACTATGAAAAAACTTTCGTGAAATATCTACTAACTCAAACTGATGTAATAGGACACCTCTGACAAGTATATATATATATATATATATATATATATATATATATATATATATATATATATATATATATATATATATATTGGTTGTCTTATATGCATAGAAAGAGCGACTAATATATTCAAATTCTTTTTACTTGTCCATGGAACTGAAATTAGTCACGTTCCTGTCAAGCGTGTGATATGATTTAGTTTAACCAGAAACTTGTTTTCGTTGCACGGGCTAACGGTTGAAGATGCCACAGGTATTAGGAGTTTGACAACGCTTTAACCAGTAATATCTAATATGAATCGTACCCACAAAGTGAAATCAAAGGACAGAAGTGAAGTGGTTCGAAGATATATTTGATAGGCTATCAATATATCTGGGATCGTCTGATCTAATCTGGCTAGCGATTGCAGGGGATGTTGAGCACGGCGTTACCACACGTGATCTGGTGCGGATGCATGACCGAGCGCCTTCAGCTAGGTGAGTCCATTAAAACTAATGTGGTCAGCATCCAATGTCGAAGACTTACAGAGCTACTTATTTTGGGGATTTATTTACCGCTACAGATCACTGCCGCCCTAGTGGGCTAGCGATGACCCTAAGACGTGGCCAGCCAGAATTGTAAATTCAACGAGTTTGTCGTTGATAAACACTCTTCTGATATCTTGCTTGGTTTAGCAGCGTTTGGTCGTCTTCCCTTACTTTAAGGGACCATGAAATACAATATAGTAAAAAAAAATAATGTACAATGAAAGTTTTTGGTTCCTCGTAAACCTCATCGTTCTTTTATCGTCTTTTCCAGCTGTCCTGGAAAAGAAAAAAATATGTAAGTGCATGTCGAAATAAACTCGTACGTGCTTTAAGACACAAAGTGGGTGAAAAAAGAAAATAACGCAAAAGCGGTTTATACAAAATGTTTTTTTGTTTTAAAATTTTTTTTTATTATACATATTAGCCAAATAATAAATATATATATAAGCATATAAAAATTGATTTTTTTTGATGTTATATATAATGCCACAGAAAATCGAGATGAAACAAAATGTTGACTGGTCTCTTACGTACAATAGTCGTTCAAATGTTTTGGGAATCTTACTCTACTTCCAGAACGCGTTGCTTTAAGTTTATTCTCTGATATTGCCGAAGTATCATCGTGCGTGGTAGCTGTCGGATGAGGCATTATAAGTGTAGGAGCCGTGCCGTTCGATTGTACCGAAGGAAAATCAACATGAATAGGTTTTCCTTCCAAATACACTGCTTTGAGGTGATCGATGCTGATGCTATCGTTGGTTCCGTTCTTATCAACTGTATAGTATTTGGGTTCGCATTGTAGAACTTTGAAGGGTCCTTCGTGTGATGATTAGAGAGGTCGTCGATGTGAGTCTCGACGAACTAAGACGTGTGTACTATATCGTAAGTCAGGTTGAACAAAAACATCAGTTGATTGCGATCAAGAGGAAACAGGTTTAACTGAACGCATTGTGTTTGTAAGCCTGTTCGTGTAGGAGGTTAGATCTATGTTTATTGAGGAAGATGAAGGATCCGCGAATTCTCCTGGAAGTCTAAGTGTCGTTCCATAAACGAGTTGAGACGCAGTGTATCCAATGTCGGCTTCCACTGCATTGTGAATACCTAGTAAGACGAGTGGAAGAGCGTCAGTCCACTGTGAAACGTTTGCAGCTGATTTCGAAGCTCTTAGTTGTCGGTGAAAACGTTCTACCAACCCGTTCGCTTGTGGGTGGTAGGCAGTCGTTCGGAAGCGAGTGATTCCTAAAAGTGTGGTCAGACAACGGAAAAGTTCAGATTCGAACTGGCGTCAACGATCTGTATTGATGGTTGAAGGGCAGCCGAAGTTTGCTACCCAACGTTCGACGAAGGCGCGGGTCACAATTTCAGCAGCAATGTCCTTGTTAGGTACTGCTTCTGCCAATCAAGTGAAACGGTCTACGCAAGTTAAAAGATAAGAGTATTGT